GTTAAAAAAGAATGATTAACTGTTTAAATGAATGGCATTAAGTAAACCCAGTAGGAATTCAGAGATGCCACATGAGTGAGTGCTGAAATGTTTTCCACAACTCCCTAAACATGTGTATTTGCAAATGTTTATTGTACACTGTCATGGTTACAAAGGAAATAACACAGAGCCCTGCCCTCCATGAGCTTATGAGTTCAAGTATACTCATTGACTTATTAAGGGGTTGATTGATAACACCAGTTGAGGGCTTCAAACAAGGAGCCACTGAGAATTGTTTGGTATTCAGAAAAGTGATTCAGGGGGCTGAATTCTCTAAGAAAAAAACTACTTATCTCTTCCTCCAGATTCTGATTTCGATTGCACTACCATTCTCATCAGAACCTCTACATTGTCCATAATATCTAAATGATCAGGTGTATTTGCCAAATCTTTTAATGCTGCTTTTTTAAAAGCCTACTCTTGATGTAATTGACATGATAAATTGGAAACATAGCACCATGGCAAATAATCCTTCATTGAAAACTTCTTTAAATCATTTGGGACCAGAGTCAAAGCACCTGTCTATTTGAATTCATTCAGAGTCTCAGCAAGATTTGGCAAGATGAACTGCTTGGGCCACCTTGGAAGGAGGCTGTGGCTTTAGCAGGCAATTTAGTTTTGTGGTTTCCTATCAAGTAAGAAAGGTTCAGTGTTTGTGGAATTGAAGCACAAGTAAAAACATCAAAAATTGTTTATGGATGAGCAATGAAAGTAGTTTAACAGAGCAAATTATGCAAAAGCTTTTATTTGATCATTCACAGATATCTAAAGCATGACTCCCTACAAAACAGTATCTGACTATTTCCCCATACCTTCCATTCAGGTCCTGGGTAGGTCAGGGGTTATTAACACAAGTTCTGCAGAAGTGGGAAGTTAACTCTGGAAACTGCTGACATTCATGTTTCCCTTTCCTTAATGGAACTGTATGTTTCATATCAGCATATTTCATTAAGACACCAAACAGATTCAAAGAATGTGCTATATTTCCAGGTCTATTATAGCTGCCATTCCAAACAAAATATGTACGACTTCCATGATTCACTAAGCACAAGTATGTAGTAATCTGCCCTTTAATGGCCTCTCAAAATGACAAACCAAATGGCTTTGTGAAGGTCAAGTCTGATTTAAATTGTTGATGAATTAATAGCTAATTCTGCATGATTGAATATTAATATGGAACAGTGATAAGTAAGGCACTTTAAAGCTTAATGAGCACATTAATGAATAGGACAAAATGTTTTTCTTTTCACCTCATGTAAAAGTTTAAAGCTGCTAACATATTGACAATTTGTTAGTTTTTGATAGCTGCTTTTTTTTCTGTAAAAGTTTATGTGGTTAAGATATAAAAGGTATTGATTTTTTTCCACCAAGTTCCTGGTAGTATACATTGATAGCTGTCAAAATTGATGTTATCAAATGGCCAAGGCAGTTTTATATAAATCAATAATAAATGTAGAAGGTGAAAAAAAAGCAATTAACATCTTCTAAACTGCACCCACTGAGATAAGCATCCCAATTAGAAATTTCATTATTTCTACAGTTCGTTTTATGTTGAATACTGAGTTTTATTGCCAAATACCTGACAGTCAAATTGGAAACAAGCCACAACTGTCAACGTGTAAGAGTTCTGGCTATTTGAATCTGTTACATTGTGATGTTTCTCATGAAAATTTAATGAAGAAAGTACATTCAAAGAGATTCTGTGCAAAGGGGGGATGGATAGAATTTAATTACCCTTATTAAAAATAAGAAAGGAACACTCTTTACATCCACTGTCCGATTAGTATGCAAGAAAGATTATCTTTGTTGTGCACTTGTGTATATGGAAAGGGAGCTCTGGAGTGTTCTTTATGAGCCAAGAAGGAAAAAGAAAGGTCATGCAAATGTATTAGACTGCTTTGGGTAGGGCACAAGTCAATTTTGTCAGCTCTCCCCAAGGTGAGGACTTCATTTCTTATAAATGGTTATTAATTCTAGATTTCTTTAGTAAGAGCCTTTAGTAAGTGGCAACAATCTTAAGTCTTTGACACTTGCCACTTGGTACTGAATATTGGCTTGGTTCTTCAGAGAGATGAACTTGTAGAAGAAAAGTAATGACTAGTAGGTCATTGTTAATGTATGCTAATGTAACTAGTACTCAAAGGCCTGGGGGTAGTACAACGCCCTGGGAAATGCAGAATCAGTTCAAGGATCTCAAGGTGATTTTTTATTAACCTAAGTTGGTGGTTTTAAATATGGAAAATAACAAAATCTAAGAGCTTTTAAAAAAACTCATTTCTAGGTAACTAAGCCAGTGTAGTTGACTTTGGAGCACTTGAATTATTTTTTTCCTTTGAAGTATTTTGTGTCAATAGCTGCCAAGTGAGATGTTTAATGTGATGTGTATGGTACAATGGCTATTGATCTTTATGTTTTTGTTTTTCAAGTAACGGTAGAACAATGCTATAGATGTAAATACATCATACTGATGAAACCTTTAAAGTCATAAAGAACAGCCTGATGAAATTCAAATGGAGTAGGTTATCAAAATTACTCTAATTTACAAAATGCTCTATTCCATTTGCAATTTTTAACTTTCCAACTTGGAGCCCTGAAATATCATCTTGAAATTACATTCTTAACTCTTGTTTCTGACACTTGTCCACCATAGACTTCTGCTTGGCTGATGATGTGTAAGCATTCAAATAAACAGATTGTATTCCTCCTTCCTCAAAACAGTCATATCTTTCAAATTAAGTAAAATGTTGCTCATTGAAGTGAACTATTTTTATAACTTTTTTAGTCTTCAGCTGTAACTAGCTGGTGGGACAGGAAAATATTCTCTAGTGAATTGAGATGTCAAACCCAACTTGCCTTAGCAGCTTCCATTGTTCTTTCATAAATCGTCCTGCAGGACAGCCAGGGTCCACACTTTTCCCTGTTCTCTTAGCCCCACAATTTCTCTTACAATAATCTGGAGCTGTTGTTGAGGGAAACCTTCCCTTTATTGGGAGGTTTATTCTTTGGTAATATTTTAACCTTCATTCATTCAAAATCTCTCTCTATAGTCCTGAGCTATTTCTCTGATCAACTCTTTACCAGAAGTAGTTATCTACTATATGTAGTAGAAAAACTTTTTTTTTCCAGTTTTTAATCACTAGGATATATTTATATTTAACCTTGGGAATCATTGGAGGTTCTATTCAAAGTTGAGTAATCCAGGGACTCCAGGGTGGCTCAGTTGGTTAAGGGTCCGACTCTTGATTTTGGCTCAGGTCATGATCTCAGGGTTGTGAGATCGAGCCCTGCATCAGGCTCACTTGCTGCGTGTGGAACATGCTTAAGATTCTCTCTCTCTGTCTCTCTTTCTCAAAAAAAAAAAAAAAAAGTCAAGCAATCCAGACTAGTATGATGGCAAGGGATTTGGATACAAATGAGACATGGAGGAACACATGGTGTAGGGAGATAAACTGATGATAATAAGTACAAGAAAATGGATTTTAGTTACTATACAATAGCTCTGAGGAGGAAAATATTAAATATATTTGAGAGGCTTTTTATTACAAAGAAGGTGATTTTGGCTGCATGGCTTTTCAGAGACACAGAGTACTTAGTGAGCATGATTTGTCTGGGGAACGGTTAAGAATTACAGTGTGAGAAGAAGAAACTTTCCTGTGGGGGATATCATTCATGAGAGGCAGAGAAAAATGGGGCCTGATTTAAAAGGATTTTGCTAGCTAGATTTAGGAGATTGAGTTTATCCTGTAATGATAGAGGGGAGACAGTAGAGAACACATAGATCTGACTGACAACACAGTGGAAGCATCAAAGTGGAGGCTTTTCCCTAGAAATTATAACCCAGACTTCAGCAAAACTCATAGGATCATACCAGAAATTGCAGGCTACAGCCAAGGAAAAGTGAGGTGCCATATCTGGTGAGTCCTAATTTTTTTTCTCACTGGTGTTTGTGCTTTTGAGTAATTTTGGAATTGGAGGCTCATGAAAATTAATCAGAGGTAATGAAGGAGGGTTGATTAAATTAATGCCATACCCAATGAGAATTTGAAATGTTTCCTAATGGTTTTCAAACAAACAGCCAAGTTCTAATTTGGATAATCATCATCACCCATGTAACTCAAACTCCTTCAAATTTGAAATTTCTTCAAGATAGAATATGCCTTTCTAATGTTGGCTGGAAGATCTGGTAATGCAAGTTAGTCATGTGGATCATCATGTTTAGGGGATTTAAGAGGACTTTAATTTTGCAAGATCTAAGATCTAGGACATTTTTTTTTAAAGATTTATTTATTTGACAGAGAGACAGAGAACACAAGCAGAGGGAGCGGGAGAGGGAGAGGCAGGCTTCCCGCCAAGCAGGGAGCCTGATGCGGAGCTCAATCCCAGGCACCCTGGGACCATGACCTGAGCCAAAGACAGACACTTAACCAACAGAGCCACCCAGGCACCCTGATCTGGGACAATTTTGACATAGGTTAGGGAGAAGTGAACTTTGGATGAGCTGAGGATTCAAAATTTAGGAATTTCAGCTCTTAGTGACTGAAAATGGTATAGGCCTTTGGAATAGAGGAAAATACTCTCTTACTCTGAGGAGTATACTTCCACTTCTTCTTAAAGGCCCATTCCAGAACCTCCTTTGGTACTCACTGACCTTCTCAGGCACACATTCTGTAATTTCTTTTCCCTCCATCATGCCAGAGAACTAGATGCATTTTTTCATCATGGTCTTTATTACATGTGTCTTAGCTCTTTGTTAGGTTATTGGTCTCTTATACAGAAGGTGCATTCTTCTGGCCAGGAACAGCATTGTGACATCCTAATCTGATAATGCAATGTTGCCAGGTTTGTATTAGCTTCTCAACAAATGCTGAGTAAAGTAAGGGGAAAGATTAGTGGGCAAAAGCTCTTGAATCTTGAGCGTCTGACTTGTTAACATAATATTTGTATCACCTTTTGTCTTGCAGAGGATCAAATTCCCAGGGGCTTCCCTACCATTGACATGGGCCCACAGTTGAAGGTGGTCGAGCGTACACGCACTGCCACCATGCTTTGTGCAGCCAGTGGGAATCCAGATCCAGAAATAACTTGGTTTAAAGATTTCTTACCTGTCGACACAAGCAACAACAATGGCCGTATTAAGCAGTTACGATCAGGTAGGGTCTTGTTACTGTTTCCACTAACTCTTAAGATATTTTTTTTTAGCTTTCTCTTTCTCTTTCTTTATTTTTATTTTTATTTTATTTTAATTTTTAGGTATTGATTTTTCTCCCTCTTCTCTTTCTCTGTTATTTAATGTGTTGTCCATGTTTGTGACGTCATAACCTGTTTCAGAGTCTGTCTTTCTCTCTCTGTGTTTTGCAGCTTCTGTTTAATCCTCATTGCTCACTGCTGTGACTGTATTTTTGATAATTCTTTAATTTACTGCTTTTTGCAGTATTTGATGGATCCATTTTCTCCTCTTTCTTTCTTCTTTCTCTGTTTTCTTTTGGAACAAATTTATTTCAACATTGGACTTCATTCAGAACTTGCAAGGAGCTCCAATGGTTGTATCCATTAAAAACCAAAAGATTCATATTAAACACTAAAATGATTCAGTTTTATTAAAGTGTGTTTTATCTGTCTTTTCTGCATTTGAACTCATCAAAGTACCAAAGTTTAGTAAGTTGGTCACATCTGCTTCCTTTTCACTAATACATAAACCACAGAAATGTTATCTCCTGAGTAACCAGATGTATTTTGCAAAAGTCCTTTACCAAGTACCAATGAAAGGAGGGGATTTTGATTAATTTTATTATTATATTATTGTGAGTGAGCATTTTCTACACATAAGCCACAGTAGTGTGCGCCCACACTAAAGAGTTTTGAACCCTCCAGTGACTGGATCTACAGAAGTCTGCTTTTGGTGTAGACTCCAGCTTTTGCTGCTTTCTCCTCTCTCTCCCTGCTGCCCTTTGTCCCTTTCCCATCCCCATCCCAGGTTCATTCCTTTGCTCTCTTTAGATTAAAAATAGAGATAATTCTAAATTTCTTAAATTTTAGAGCCTGTCCCTAGGTGATTTCCCTGGGGCATGTAGTAATAAGCGGTTTACTTTGACGTTGGGAGTAATATTGATATAGAATTCTAAGTTGTTTAACTTAACTGCCTGTCTTCCCAGAATTCTCAGCTTTTGACCTGTCCTGTGATGTTAAAGCGTCTTGTTAACTGCCTCTTTTGCTTGTTGTCAGCAGAACTGTGTAGATTAGCATTCTGTTATTGTAAATAAAGAATTAATTATTCACATGTAACATAGATGATTTAGTATATAAAGCTTTAACTCTGAAAAATTTGTACCAAATTATAAGGAATATAATAATATTTTTATGCTGTCTTTCTTCTCTCCGTATTTAAATCTCCAGAATCTATTGGTAAGTGCTTAGTTCTGAAGCGCACTTCACCCCACTAATTTCCATATCCAGAATATTATTATTATTTTTATTATTATTAATAAAATGCATGGCATGCATTTTACTAACTGTCAGTGTAGACACCAGATCTTGGTAGTGGCGCGCACATGCACACATCCACAGAACTGTTATTGTAAGAACACTGTCTAGAAAAATAAAATAGTACACAAGTTGTATCACACAAATGTAGCATAGTGAGAAGCATAAGATATTCAATCAACAGTGTTTGTTTCTGGTTAGTCATTAGTATTTCCTACAACAGTATATATATATATGCATATCTATATATATACTTAAATAGATTAGCCAGTATTTTTCCTAAACGATGTCTTTAAAAAGTATTGTTTAGTTTTTATTTATTTTTTTAAGAATATGAGGCATATAAGATATGATTCTAACCCGATATGACCCCAGACCTAAGAACTCAGTTGCTTCTCTGAGAGGCAGCGATGCCTATTGTGGTCTTTGCCCTCTATGGTATAATGCAACTTGCTTTTATAATCTAATAATACTATCTAATATATTCCTGTTTTACCAGTATAGTAATTCAAGTTTCTTTTAAGACCTTATTTAATTCTGTAAATCTAATTTAATTCTTCTCCCCAGCCCTAGCCTCCTCCTTCTCGTACTAATGCTTCTTCTTTCTAATCTTATTTGCATTCATATTATCCACCCAGGTGGTACACCAATAAGAGGTAAGAGTGCTGAACTAACGTTCACAGAATGATCTTGCTCATTCTTTCTGTCCTCTCATTCCTCCCATCTTTGTCCTGTTTTCAACATCATTCCAATAATATGTCCATCAACTTTATTTTTTCCCTTTGTACTGTTTGGTTATGATCAGTGACTCTCATATTGTGAGTTTTCCTTTTCTTTTCCTTTTCTCTTTGTTTTGTTCATTTCTTTCTTTATGGAAATGGTTATTTAAGTTGTGATATGCTTCAAAGAAAGCATATCCAGGTCTCTAGACCACAGACCAGTCACAGCGTACCATCTGTCCCTCTTTTTTTCCTTTTCTTCTTCTTCCTTTTTCCTTTTTTTCTTTTTTTTTCTTCTTTTTCCTTTTTTTTTTTTTTTTTT